TTTCCTTAGAGGTCATTGAATTTTATTTTCTTCGTTTTTTGTATAGTGTACATTCAAAGAGTAAATACTTACATATGTATGTAAAGATAAATTTACATAAATTCTGACGCTATGCTCGTAAAATAATTCTATAGTTGCACATGTATGGTAATCAGTTGATTATATTTGTTGTTACGGTTTTCATTTAAGTTGACAATTACTTTTTGTTTGCAGGACACGTGAAGAACCACATGCCCAGCATCACTCTGAGATTGGGTAGCACATTTGCAATCTGTAATACGGGATAGAAGAAGTTTTTAATTATTATCGTTAGTGAAAGGCAACTAAAGCTGCGAACACTAAAATAGCAGTAGCTATGAGTGTACATACTACATAAACATGAGATTCAATTAATCGATAATAACCAGGGAACGGATTTTTAGAACCTAAAAACCTATAAAAAAGGCAAAATAAAATAGCGAAACAGGCAGGAAAAGGCACTAGAAATCGCAGAAAAAGCAAAAGAAGGCATGGAATAAATATGGAACACTTAAAACTTTCTTCATATTATCAGTAATAAGGCTCTTTCCTTGCCCTTTACAATTAAAGGCTTTCTGGAAAAAAAGGCAACATAAAATGTGTATACATATATGGAATCGGGGAAAGCTAAATCGTAGACACTCTTAATCGAATATACTCTAACAATTATTATTATTTATGAATAAGGCCATAAGTCTTTAGCAGAAAAAAAGGGCAATTTCCATTAAATGCGTTCCCTGATAATAACTTATAAATTATACGATTTTCGTTACATGCTTGGCAAAGAAAATCACTAACTTTTTTTCCTTGGTACGGTGCTTTCAAAGGGGCGGTTTTTCGAAAATTGCGTTGGAAGATACACATTTTTAGTTTAGAGATGCCGTTTTTAAATGGATTAAATAGAAGATCGATTAGTCGAGACCTTCCGATTCGATTTTTTGTCGATTTTTTATTTCCTTTCAATCCGTGAATCGATTCAAAAAATTCTAAAATCGAGGAGGCTGATACAAAAAAAAAATAATGGGGCTTGACTCCTCCCACCTTTCTAACTTGAGAGAGCAAAGACCTTTCTTTCTTCTCCGATTAAAAGACTCCTCAGCGAATAGTCTTGGAAGTAACTCTATATAAAATTATGACTAATTGTAATAATGCTTCAAATTGAAATAAACTGCAACAAAACCTCCGAAAAGCGGAATTCCAAACTTTATGAAAATTTTAATTGTCTTGTATCGCGAATTTTTTTCAAACGCTGTTTTGTATTGAGGTTATACATATGTATGTAATCTAAAACCGCAAAATTGTTTTTTTAATTTTTATTAGATTGTACTCTGGCGACTTTTCTACAAATGCCTTAAGGCTTTACTATATTCTATGTCTACGTCATCTGCCCGATAAGAATTAGGTTTTAAAGAGCAGAAGTGTGTTCTATCTTAAGTTTGCATGTGGCGGTGTTTAAAACCGCGACCCTTATTAGTTTCAATATTTGGGATATCGAGTATTTTTATCCCGGTATTAATGGGTGCTCGATATTTTTTCAACGATACTTTAAATGAGTACCGTATCGATATTTTCGGTTCGATATCGAGTCCCTATAAAACTGTTATAAAAATGTATGTATGCTTAAAAAATTACAATAACACGATTTCAAAAATATTCAAGATTCTGCTTAAGGAGGCTAAACGCAATATGTATACCAAATTTGGTTGAGATCGGTGAAATATTTTTTTGAGATACGCCTATATAATTTAAGTGGGCGGCGCCACCCCCATTTCCCTAACCCACTTTTTTGATAAGAGCGATTGTGTATATCAATTCTGAATAAATATTAAGGCATTTCTTAGCCACACTGCTCGAAAAATCTAAAAATCCGGTACATAAACAATACTATAAATTCAAGGCCGTATTTAAGAAAAGTCACCTAACTTCGACAATTTTTATGTGATTGCAATAAATGAGCTATCAGTTTATTTGAAAATAGATTTAATTTTAGATATTTTGAATTATGGTGGTTAAGTGATGGTTGTTTATGCCAGCGTCTTAAATTTACGAACCACCTTAATATTTAGCGTTTGTATACAATACAACAGTTAACTACTTTCCAATGAACGCTAGTTATGTTAAAATTTCCCTTGCATAAAAAGCCGTTCGATGGGCTAACGTCACTTAAAAGAACAGAACGGACTAGCTTGCCGAATATCCATTTGAGTAGACGTCATAAAGCTACCAATTTTCTTCGCCTCATCCAGCTACATATGTATATATACATATCAGGTAACCTGAATATAATTGCACATATTAATATATTAAGAAATAGAACCTTTTCGAATTCTATTTGCTCATACAAACTTGTGTACTTTTTCTAATTAAAATACATATATCGGTGCAAACGTGAAACTGGGCTATTACCACAAATTTGCGGCTCATTTCTGAAACTCTTTCCCATACTTGCCCTATGAACATGGTCCTTCGAGCCAGAAGGAAGTGTTTTTTTTGTTATTTGCCCAAAGAAAAATCCTAACAATCCAAGTCTGACAACAGATTATTATAGATCATTTTAAAGGCCTATAAATCCTATTCTGACAACATGCTCGATCTTTAAAATTGAATGGAAAATAGTCATTAAAAACTCATAAATCTACAAAACTGACTGAATGACAAGTCGTGACCTCTAAATGATTTTTAAAAAATCTATAAAATTAAGCAATAACATTTCTCATAAAAAAGAAAAAAATTAGGGGGTAGGGTCTTGAAAAAATAAATTTTTTTTTGATGGACACCCTAATGTATATATGTACATTAGACTGCATCACTACGCATACAAACAAGGAGGCACTGTCTCTCTATTGGCATAATAAAACCTATTAATAATTTTTGTAATCGTGACTTCGTAGTTGAGTGGATAGAAAAAAGTGGAAATTTGAATTTCATATGCTGGTTTATGATTACAATTGGTTAATTTCTGTTTAGTTTTATTAACTTCGAAACGTGCTATTTGAATCTCATTCCGCGATCACATTTAAACTATTTTATTGAAATTTAAGGCTAGATATTTTTTGGTAGGTATTTTTGCAACTAAAAAAGAATAAAAATATTTAAGAGGTAAATGCACCCAATATGTAAAATTACACAGAGTGAAAACTTGCCAACCCCAATTTTTAATTTTACAGCAGAGAAGAGAAACTTTCCAAAAACCATTATCAAATATTTTGCAAAACCTTGAATACAAAACTTTTGCGTATACATACAAAGGAAAACATAACTCCATAGGAATTGGTATCGGCGTTATTGAACATTTTTTGTATTCCTTTGAATTTATCAGATTTCCCTGCTGTCTTTGTAAAATATCCGTGTTCCCGAATAAAACGGGCAGAAATAAAGTAATTCCGTGGAATTGATGAATAATTATTTAGTTTTCTCTTCTTCGTGGATCAAAATGTAAAGTTTCCTAAACAGTGGACATACCAACTTTTTACTCCAAGCTAGCGATATACACGAATTTTTAAGAATATAGTTTAAAGCCGGGAGGGGGGGAGGGGGTGCTAATAGTCCGTTTTTTGCCATCGCATAAACCGGTTTATTAACCTAGTTAATTTACATTCCAATTTGAGTTTCTGATAATGCAACTATTGAATGGTGAATAATTGTTTACCTATTAGACTATTACCAGTTTAAATTTGTTTTAATAGTACTTAAATTCTCTGTTATTGAGAACTGTATACATTAGGGTGGTCCAAAAGAAGTTAAGTCGGAATTTTAATGCCCTCAGCCGCTAGAATGGTTCTATGGCTGCTTATTTATCATCCAAAATCAGAAAATATTTGCTCAAAGTTTTCTATGTATTTTATATCGCATAGCATCTTCAAAAGAGGCAAAACTTAAAAATCACATCCAAAAATATAACCACTGGTGGATGAATTAATTGGAGATTGATTCTACGAATTAATTTATGCATAAAATCCGGCCAACATATTTTTAGAGTTGTGCTCCTTTAGAAGATGCTGTGTTATATGAAAAAAAAACTTTTGTTCGTGGAAATGGTATAGAATTCGTGAAAATCAATATTTATTGATCCGAATAATCTGTTTCTCTTCAAGAGAGTAATAATAAAAAATAGCCTATTTAATAATTTATTAATATTACTAATTTTTTATAGGTCTTTCGAAAACCCCTAAGAATGTAATGGGGGACTCAAAAAACCTTAGTATTAAAAAATGGTAAAATAAAGCATTGGATATCAGTCCTAGCTACTTCAAAATTGCACTTATTATAATAAAATTGAAATAACTGCAAGGTTGTTTAGTTCATTTAGTTCATTTATTATATTTATTTGTTTATTAAAACACATAGGTAAAATTTGTTTCCATTAAAAATTCGTATCGTCGTTTAAAGTACAAAACCTCGTATCGTCATTCTGCAAAATCGCGTAACTGACATTGGCAGCCAAAACTTGGATTTGCTCACATAAGCTCTTGGCTCAATTCTTATCCATTCGTCCTGAAATATACCAGCCAGAAATGCGATTGCTTTATAAAAAAGAGAACCATTTTGAAATATGAGCGTTTTTACGCCCTAGAAAATGATTTCTACAACTTCACATACGCGGTTTTGAATTTTGTTGATACGCGGTTTTGCACTTTAAACGACGTTATATGGGATTGAATTTTTATATGGGACCGAAAGAAAAAACATTCAGTTTATTTGACTCAGTCTAATGTATATATGTACATAGATATGTATGTGCCCCAGTGATGGAAAAATAGTTAAAACCGTACTTTTTTGCAACGGAAAGTCAGTTATACCAATCAGTTAGAGCAATCAACCGGAGATTGGCCAAGTTCTTTCGTAACACACAGAAAGACATCTCTCCTTTATCAGATATCGTCCACCGATAAGACAACTGTAAAGATTGATTTTTGTTTTCTTTGAAGACCTCAATAAGCCTAAATATAGGCCTGTTGGAAAGAGTCATGCTTCGGTCGATCCTAAACTGACAGTAGTAGTGATGTTTATACTGGCTTCTAAGTAAACAAAGTCCTTAAAAACTTCGAAGTGAAGACGGCAATAGTGCTGTGATCTCTCATTAAGCAAGGACTCTTTCTCAAGACTTTAGTAAAAGCACTGTTGCCAACTTGGTGCTTTTCGCACTAAATTTAGTGCTTTTCTTTATTCAAAACGCGAAAATTTTAGAGTTTAGTGCTTGGTGTGTTTTTTTGTGCTTTTGTTTTTAGTTTGAAGACACCAAATCTGTAAATCTTAACAAAAAGGGGCCAAAAGTTATAAAAACCGTAAATTCTGTAAGAAATTAAAAAAAAAAATCGGAACAAACTCATGTCACAATGACAATCATAAGAGGGCATACATTTGTTTACCAACAATATAAATATGTTGAAGCACTTTTCCCTCTATGCGCCAGTGTATTATCCACAAAAACACATTAAAAAGGAAAATCGAATTTCGTTATGTTGCAGGTGTTAAGGGGTCGGAAAGAAAAGTTCTTTATGTTCCTTTAGTTCACAAGATCATAAGAAACTGCAGTGTAGATTTAAACTACCACGTAGTTCATGAAACTTCATTTCTGGTTTTTGCTTTCGTTTGATAGGAATTGTAGAAAAAATTAAGCAAAACGAAGAAAATTTTAACATTTAAACAGGCAGGAAAAATTAATAAATTTTGCTTACATCTAAGCGAAACGGGAACGCTAGACACAGCTGCAAATTATAAAATAACGTCTTTACGTCGCTTGAACGAAAATATTTGAATTTACAGAAAACATAATAAATTCGACCGTCGAGCAAAAAACATTGATTTTTATTAATTTGAATCGGCATCCCTACAATACAATTTTTCATTCATACAAAGTCCATTAAATACTCCAATAAAAATTTGGTGCTTTTCTCGAGAAAAAACGAGATTTTTCTTTGGTTTTAGTGCTTTTTCAGATTCAAACTTGGCAACACTGAGTAAAAGGTAGTGCTCACTATGGCAAATTCGAATAAAAGCAATATATCGATTTATTTATAACTATAAGTTATGAATCAGATTTTTAAAAACATACGAAGCCACCAAACCGATGTTAGAGGCAGGCTTGTAGTATTTGTAGTAGGTGTAGGCATGGCCATATGCTCAAAATCATCACCAAAAGGGCTCCCAATAAGCGGGTAGTCATGCACTAAGGCAGAAGAAACATAGGAGAATGAATCGCGTTATCTAAATCTTTGTTTGGTTTCGAGGGGTTCTTTCGGTTTCAACGGAGCTTTACGTCTCAGAATTAGTTTAATGTGAATCTCAAAACTAGACATGGCGTTGTAAGGAGAGACTACTTTCGTATTATCGTACTGCCAAACAGATTTGATGACCTGTGAAATGTTTGAAAATATATACTAAATTTTTAGGCACATTTTTCTGCTTTTAATACAATTTCCTTCTCAAATAAGGTACAATCCGAAAATTTAATTGTCCGTCTCTGATGTGCACCCGTATTTGCTCACACGAACTTAATAGTATTGAGTAACAAACGACACTATCTTCTCAAACACTTGTTCCGGATATTGCTTGTACACAAACCTCTTTCGGCTTATCAAAAGAGAGACAAGTCTGGATTTCTTTCTGTTTTGTTGTTTATTGTTAACGAAATGCGATACGACTTACTTTTGAATTACGTACAAGTGTTCAAATACTTTTCTTCTATATGTATGTATTTATGAAAATAAATTAAAAAACTGCTTAAACTTAATAAGGTACGGTCATTTCCACCAATGTTACTTGATTATGCTTGTTATTGGCCACATTTACAGCTGGAACCGCAACCGCAACTGCCGCTTTGAGTTCCTGAACTGCATTTACAAGCTAGAAACAGTAAATGAAAATTTGATATAATAATAGAAAACATAAGATTTGAGAGGCTGACGGGTGTCTATAATATAAATCAATTGATCAATTTAAATCAGCTACATACCGCTTCCACAGGGACAGCATTTGCAGGCCGACCCGCAACCACAATTGCCAGTCTTAGGTTCTGAGCCGCATTTGCATCCTAAAATTATGAATAAAAGAAATTAAATAGATTTTTATACAAAAAGCATTATTTATAAGAAATGTGATATGCAGATAAAATAGTCATAGTAGAAGACTATAGAAAAAAACTAGACTATAAACCAAATATTTAAGAATCTTTTAACCGAACTAACCGAACCGTTTTCTGAAGAAATATTTAACTTTAAAGGTTACTTTATATTTAAAGGCTGGATAAAAAATATAGCTATATCTAAAGTTACTTTTACTTTAGACACAATCATAAATTTGATTGCAACATTTAAAAATAAAGTGAACTTTAAAGTTACAGCTTACATGAGAAAACGGTCCGGAATTGTGCTCAATATGAACTCACCGCTTCCACATGGGCAAGGCATTTTGTTTTATGTTGTTTTTGTATATTCTATACACTTGAAAAAATTAGCAAACAATTATTTTGTATTTTTGATCACTCAAGTTTAGCTTTGTAAGCGCCAAATGTTGTTACACTGATCTGATCGTTGTTGCTCCCCTCGGTTTTATACACTTCAAAACACTCGAATCGGGTTTCGTTAGTTGGGAGTTGTTTGGCGCCGTGCGCAAAAGCTGGCCCGAAGTCGATAGCTCGAGTGCGGTGTGCAATATGTTTACTTAAGCCGCGGTCATAAACATATGCACATACATATGAAATAAGTAGATATGTGCGCATGTACATATGCCGGCTTATATGTTTATAGGTCTGCTTATGGGCTATCGGCAAGTCGCATTGATTTTGTTGGGTGGAGCGCACATGTGGGAGAGTAATGGTATTAGTTGAACGCCGGGTGAAACATTGTTCCCTGTAAGAATGTTTGTGTTCAATATTGTGAAAATGTTAAATGTTTAGTGATAGCAGCTATTTCGG